CCCCCCCGCCTTCCCCACCCTTGCCCGCGGGAGGGGGGCCAAAAGGCTAGGAAGACGAGGGGCAGGCAGGACAGGAGAGCCAAGGATCTTCTTCCCCCCCCCCCCCCCCCCCCGCCGGCTAAGCCTCCTCTGCTCTCCTCAGCTTTCCCTTGCAGCTCTTCCCCGATCACCCCACCCTGTGCAACCGAAAAGGGTGGGGAAAGGAAGGAGAAGGCGAATGTCTTGCAAACCCTGACATTCCCACAGCCGCTCCTCTTCCAAACTCTGATTCGGGATTAGCCAGCAGCAGCTTCGCCAGCCGGAAGTTCCACAGGAGAACGTGGAACTTAAGAGTCCTGCGTTCTCTCCACCCTGGGAAGAGCCCGGGCACATCAAAGCAAGATGTGGCCACTTCTGGCCTAATTCTTTGAGTGACCCCAACTCAAAGCATCCGTGTTGCACAGCCAGGCCATAAGACAGACAGACAGACAGGACGCGAATTCCACCACGGCGTAAAAGAGATACTCTTAATCCAGCGAACCGGCCACCTTTGCACAGTCTGAGAGGTTCACCCAAAAATGGCTGAACAGAGGCCTGCAGAGGACGGATCCCCACGAAACTCCGGTAGTAAGGAGTTCAAAGCCTCGCGGCAGCCACTGACACACAGCTCTTGTCAAATCCCACTCCAAACTCTTCTAAGCTTCTGGCTGATGTTTCCAGAATACCAAATTCCAAGTCAATATAGCTCATAACCAGAGCTTTGGATGGCATCCAGAAGAGAGGGTGGCTTTATTTAACAACCCTCCTTACAACCAACACCCTGATCAGGGCCCAGGACAGGCCCACTCTTGCAGAACAGTGACTCACACAGAGGCACAACAGGGAACCTCTCTCTTCTGGATGGAGCAGCTACGTCAAAAAGGTGCTTATTCCAGGCAAGGTAAGGAGAAGGAGAAGGGGAAGAAGACTGAGGCATATGCACGCTAGACAGAAATTTTACATTTTTCCCTTGGTCTAAACCCAACCCCACCCAGTAAACCTGAAGGATAGGGCCCCCGCCTCCGAACAGAATATAGGTACTGTAGTCCCCGGGTTAAGAACGCCCCGTTTGCAGACGACCCATAATTAAGAATGGAGCCTATTGTAGCAAATTTCGAGTTACACAATAATTCGAACGCAATCCACAATGATTCAAGTTCATTACACAATACGGCTTATGCCACATTATACAATCATACTGTTCCAGCTTATGTACAAATTCAACTTAAGGGCATATCTTGGGAACTCGTTCTTCGCCTGGGGTCTCCCTGCGTCTCGCATCGTGCGTCGACAAACTACGGAGCCCCCTGCCCCACGGCGAGCAACCAGATGAGAAGATTTGAAGAAGAGGAGAGCCGGTTAAGGAGGAGACCCAGCCCCGAGCCTCAAAGATGCCGATGCCCAGGGGAGAAAGGGAGACCCACGTGGCCAGAGGGTTGCTCCCATTCTGCGTCCCCGGATCGCTGTCTGGCACCGAAGCAAGCAGGAAACAGAGTTTGAACTCGCCTTCAGAGCCACAGAGCTGCCTCCCCTCACTGATCAAAGGTCTATCTAAGGATGGCCACCAGCCAGGACCAGCTCCCTGCGTGGGACAAACCAGCTTTGCTCTCTCCTTTATGTCCCTCCAGGATTTTTGATTTCCCCCGATTTTTCAGATTGTTTTCTCCACCACCTCTGCTCCCCTTTAACGCTTATCCCAGACCCTAAAGACATAAGCCCATCAGGAGCAGCCAAATTCAGACAACAGGTTTAACCTGCTGATCGAATTGACGCATCTCCTGGTTTGCACAAGGCTTGTTCGACCCTCCGTGAGGCCAACCGGGTAGGCCCGAAGCGATCGATGACCAGCCTCTGCAGGCTGTGCAAAGCGGGTTGGCCTCTGGCTGAGGAAGAGAAGTGTGGGAATTGTAATCTAATCTGCTCCACAGACACCTGGTCGGGGTAGGGTGATGTAAATAACCGAGCCTTACAAGGGACGCAAACAAAATCACGCTCAGCCCTCCACGTGCGGCTTGCACCGCCGCCATGGCACAAAGAGCCTCGCGATTCTTTCCCACGGCGAAGCAGCTGCTTTCAAAACACCAGGAATCCGGCAGAGCTGCAGGGCTCCCTTCCCCAACGCCCGAAGCCGAGCCCACCGGCAGCTTCCACGCAGAAGCCCCTCTCTGCCAGCCATCATCGAACGGCCCTTCTTCCGCCAGATATCCAAGGCGCCCCGCCGGAGCGATCATCCTCGTTTTGCACAAGAGGCCTACACGGAGGGCAGAGCGCCGATGCTTCGGAGATTTCGCATTCGTGGTTCATGGCAAGGGCACCTCCACGCAGCTTCTCTGTTCCGACTATTTTTAGCTGCCGGGGACGGAAGGGAAAGGGTGGGAGATAAGGGCCTGGGCGCGTTTGCCGGCTCCAACCTTTTGGAGGTTCAGAAGTTCCCAAAAGGCGGCCCCATCAAAAGACGGTCTGGGTTTCCGATAACGAAGGAAAAGTAAAACGAAAAGGGTGCCAGGGGCTTTGATCCTTAGAGCCACCACCGCGACAAAAAGACGCTTGAAGGGCCTAAGGTTTTCTGCTTAAACAAAAACACCGGAAAAAAGGTTTTCCTCGGGGAGCTGGCGCCCACCCTGCAAACGTGAGGTCTGGAGCCGAGTTCAAATCTCAGCCGCTGCCAGGAATGCAGATGGCGGCATTGCCAGCGAACGTTGGCCTCTGGATCAGGTGGAGAGAAAAAGGGGCTACGGAGCCTCAAATCTGAGGGCGGAGGTGGATTTTATTCTGGATGGCGCTGGAGTAAAGCCTCTGGGGTCTCGGCTTGATGCAGTTAAGGCATCTCCAGGGTGGCCGGGCTTCCCTCTCTCAATCCTGATCCAGCCAGGTGCCTCTTTTCACATTAATGTGAATATCCCCTTGACCCACAGCCACCCCTTCCTTATGGCCCATTTGGAGGCCTGAGAAATCACAGTTCTCTGCCTAAAAAGCCTTGCATTTCAAATCCCAACCAGCAGTGGGTGGGGAAAATCTACCCACAAAACCCCACATTTTTTTTTTAGTCCCCCTGGAAGCAGAAAACCCCCAGCGCTGGGCCAGAGGGTTTTTCCCTGGGTGCTCGCTTTCTACCTGCAGGGCCTTTCGAATGAACCCTGAATTCTGGAATCGACTGATCCCAGCGCGGCCACAGCTTAACGGCGAGAGTTCAACAGAACCTCCGCGCTCAGAGGCAGCCTAGCTTGGAAAGCAGCCGTTACAGCCTCCGAATCCTGTCCTGCTGACCTCTGCTAGAATTGGGCTGCCGGGCTGGCTGGAGAGTACAAAACAGCATGAAAAGCAAGGCGAATGCTGAAGGGCAGAGTCTGTTGTTGCTTTATGCCCCGAGGGGCCAGCTTTTGCTCTTCCTGCTCTGTGTGGTGTGATCCCCCAGGCAGCCGCTAAAAAGAGGCCAAAAAGTTTGGCTCTTTCTGGATGCAGGACTAGAGACAACTCGGAGGCAACCGTCCCCTCCCTGGAAACCTCCCCTCTCAGGGGGCAGAAGTTGGCCTGGCCTGGCCTGGCCTGCCCCTTCCCCGCCCAACATCGGCTAAACTTCCCCACAACTAACCAGGAACACCCAGGACCCCTCTGCCAAATTCCCCCAACCGGCTTAGCGCAGAACACGGGTCGACCGTCTCCCCGTCTGCCTGCAAGAGCTGCAGGGGTCCAAATCGAGGAGGGCTGGCGGCTCAGGTCCGAGGCCACGAGGCCACGTTGAACGTAATCAGCCACGCTGGGTTCAAAACCCACACCAAGGATCTGAGCCACCCGCCTCTGCCCAAGGTGGTTCATTTCTGCTGCTTCGAAGGGTGACCTGCCCAGCCATTCCCTATCTCGGAAGATCTTTGTTTTCCCATCCTTTTAAAGCCAGAGGGAAAGGTTTCCAACACCACAGAGCACAAGCACGCTTCTCCCAGAAGGGGAAAGGAGGGAGGGAGAGCCGCGTAATTACCGGCAAAATAAGGATTTTCCCCTACCCACGGCGGGGCTTCGCAAAAAGCGAGCGAGAGCAGCTTTGCAAAAGCCAGCCGGGCGCTGAATGTAGGCCTCGGGGAAGCTGGGCACTTCCTGGATCTGAGAGAGGCAGGGGTGGGTGGGGACGAAGCGCACAGGAAAGGGAGTAGGGAGAAAAAGCGATTTTCCAAGCGGGGGACCGCATTCCCCGGCGTGCATTTGAGGGCACGAGGAGCTGGCAGGGAAGGGCCCCTGCAGACGTTCACCAGGGGCGGGGAGGCAGCTGGGAGCGACAGATAAACCCGAACAGGCAGCCATCGTGGGCAGAGAACTGAACGAGCAAAGCGGGGGAGGGGATGGGAGGGGGGGAGGACGCAGGCCACACTGTTAGGTTGTAAATCAAGAACCCGGGCAGAGA